TTCATGTGTCGGTATATATAGCATATATGAGACTTTCATGCGTGTCTCCCTTATCTTATACGCATACGCATGTTTTTGTGAGCATGCTTTCTGGGCCATGTATTTGAGACAAGTTAGCAGTTTAGTATATAAATATAAATGTCTATGATTGTGAACCAAACCTGTCTTATCCTACATATACGAGAATATATCTGGTTGTATATATGTACATCTGTATGTGTGATGACCAAATATATTGAATATATATATCAATAGAATCTTTGGTATATTCTGCACAATGTTCTCAGCATTTTATATTCTAATAACCATGGTGAAAATGGAAATTTATTTGGTATCTACTCAGTATATCATAGTACATATTTTGTACAATATTTATTTTATACAATTTGTACAGATTTTGTACAATATTCATTTAGTACAATATTCTGAAAATGTGAGTATATTGGGTCTGTTCTTTTTAGCTGAACTGGGTGCACTAGTTCAGAGTTTATCTTTCTTCTTCCAGTGAAAGAAAGAGAAATTGCGAATTAATACAACTAGTTCAGTCAAAAAGAACAGGCTTATTGTTATGACATTTTTAAAATCCGTTGGACAGTCCACGTTGCTAATTGGTCAGTTAAATATTTGATCTAATTTGATCTGATTGGTGGTTACTTCTTAGGGTCATTTTCACCAACTTTGATTAATTTAATCGGCCGATAATTTTATTAGACTTGACTAGTCGCAATATATCCAAAAATTTAATAACAAATACGAGTGATCAATTTCAATGGAATAATCGGCCGATTTAATTAATCGGAGTTGGTAAAAGTAGTCCTTAAAGTCTTTTTATTCTGACACTCAACGCTCATTTTTAGCGTGAAAATAGATTACGTGACCTAAAATGACTTCAATCAAATTTCATTACTTCAAACTAGTTCAAATTTCATTATTTTGCGTTAAAAATAACTTCAATCAAATTTAATTATTTTAAATTAGTTAAAAATTTCATTATTTTGCGTCAACTTTGTCCTATTTTATCGCTGAAAACGATAAGCGACACATGAAAAGGTATCTTAATTCTGGCTTGGTGATGTTTCATGCGTCTCCGCCCCAAATACATATGATCCACGGTGGAGGGACGAGCGGAGCACGCGCGTAACGGTTGCACAGTGCGAAAGCGCAGGAGTTTGTCGCGTCGAGCAGAGTTGATGTCCGTTTCTCGTCAGGAGAGGCGGTATTGGCCATCGAGAACATCGGTAGGAAGCATGGTAGCGGTGGCTTGGCAGATATGCTTAGGGTATCTGTCATCTACTTCGGCGTGACGTTGTAAAAACTTGGTGAGAGAGTCGGAGGAGGATTTTAGACTATCGACGTGCCATCCGAGTCGCGTGGATGACGCGAGCAATGCGTTTCCTCGCGAATGAATCCGCTCGTCAATCTCGTTCCTCAGATACAATCCCGTCGCGACATTGCAAGTGCCGACGATGAAGCTGCACGAATCATTCGGTTTTTAACCGAGACATCGAGCCTGCAAGTTCAATTCGTCATATGCCGGCTGTAATCGAATTATAAATCGGTCCCTTTCTCTTTCTTTCGGTGCTCCTTGTGCCCGAAGGTGGTGATTCGTGTTACTTTTAGCGAAGGTGCGAGAAACTGTAGTGAGGCAGGATGATGATGGGCGATCAGTTTCGCAGCAAAGTTGAACAATACTCGCCGAAGTCCTCGCCGAGAGGAGCACGGTCTCCAGTTGTGTCTCGTCAGGACTCTACAGGAACTCTGAAGACTACTATTTCCCTTGGGAAGAACCCTTCTATTGTTCACAGTGGACCATTTTATCTAATGAAGGAGCCTCCAGGTAATGAAATCAACAACTATTTTTGAAATATATGCAATATGTATTATGTGTACAAGTTATACTCGAGTCTGCAAATGGCATATGATCTTGAGATATATATTTTAAAAAAATATAAAATATAATATTAAAAAAAAAACGCAAAGTTTTACAAATAAATATATTGGTGTTTTTAGGGGAAAGTGAACTTACTGGAGCGACAAATTTGATGGCATATTATGGTTTAGAACACTCCTATAGCAAGTTTAGTGGAAAGAAACTTAAGGAACAGCTGTCTTCTTTTTTGCCAAATTTACCTGGTATTATAGACAGACCTGGTCATCTAGATAATAGGTATAATTTAAATCTTATACAAGCTTTCAAATATTATACATTTTATTTGATGTTTTTCTGCTTTTTAAGCTCATTGAGATCGCTGATTGAGAAACCTCCCATAGGAGGTAAAGAGTTATTACCTTTAACAAGTGTACAACTAGCTGGTTTTCGATTGCATCCTGGTCCAGTAAGATATATTTCTATATATTAAAATATATATAAGTATTCTATAATATATTATTATAGAAAGGAAGATTATCAAAATATTTAAAAGAATTTTCTAAGATAAATGCACAATTGCTGAGTTGAGTAATGTAATTTTGCAGTTGCCTGAACAGTATAGATACGTGAATCAAGCTCCTCAAAGAAAACACAAAAATAAACATAAGAAACATAAACATAAGCCTGGGGAAGTGCTCAGTGGACAAGAGACTGCAACAACGGACGTAGGTGGTTCCGATACACACGAAAAGAAGCATAAGAAACAGAAACGACATGATGAGGAAAAGGAAGCTAGAAAGAAGAGAAAGAAGGAGAAAAAGAGGAAAAAGCAGAAACACAGCCCCGAGCATACTGGTAGCCTCACACCATCTCAGCATTCCAATTCGTGATCTCTAATCTGCCCTTTCCAATTCATGCCAAACTTTTGATTGAAACCGAAAGAGCGTACGAATTATTGAAGTGACCAAGCACAAACGTGTATATTTACTTATATTAGGGCTATAAGTATTCACCCGAAAATGATTACTTGAAGTGATTATTATTACAATCATTAAATAAATACTAATAAAATTTTTGTTTTGATCTTAGTTCTGAACGCGGAATTAAATATTTTATATCGATTTTTTTTTAATTAAAAACTCTAACATTTATTACATTAGAATTTTAAAAATAATGATTTCATGATTTAAAAATTAGCAATATCAAAATAATGATTTCAATGATATCAGTAAATTTTAACTATATTTACAGCCCTAATTTATGCATAATATATGTTTATTTTTTTTCGTTATTAGATGGTATGATAAGGAAAAGAGCGCTCTCTATGTGCAAATCATGTATATACGCGTATGAAATAATTTAATCCCTTTTGTATTGGAAGACTATGTAGATTTATTTTTATTGATCGGTGTAGACTTGTAAAAAGTTATATTTTACAAATTGTGTGCTCAAAATTTTTCTGTTATTTCGTATACCAAAACGAACATTAACCAATTATGCACATTATAAAAGAAAATATTCAAACAGATTAGCTAAATTACATCAAATCTCAGTACTAAAGTGGCAGAATTATTAAGGCAAGGTTTTGCATTTTGTTTATGAAAAATTTACGGATAGGTAAAATTCAATCGTTATAATTGTTGCTATTGTCTAGTTTGTACAACTTCTTTTTTTTATTTAATCAGTGCAGTATTATATGTTTTTTGTTTTCTTAAGCGTCGCACCTTTGCATACTTGAAAGTCTTCTACATCGGTGAAAGGGCAGTGTAAAAATATGACCACGTAATATAACAATCGTGCATGGGATATATTATCTCACCGAATCTATCGCGCATATCGTCTCCTATGCGACATCACCTTACAATTGTAAAGTGATTGTATCGTTACTCGGAACTTGGAATGTAAATATACGTAAATAAACAGCAAAAGACTGTACAAAGCGCGTGTATCGGGTATTGCTGTGCTGTGTAAAGTGCTCGTTTATGAAATTTGTAAGTGTATGTAGAATCCACGTGTTTTAAGACCGACACGATGGGTTTATTGCGAGAAAGAAATATATCGGAAAGAAAATTCAAATCTAGATGTAATATTTATAGCGCGAAACGGATACAGAATTAAAGTGATCGATTTCACAATAGTAGCATCATTGTTTTTTCATCCCAATTATTTGTTTTATTTTCGTTACAATGAATGTAATAAACATTTTTTATTTTATACAATTTTTCTCATTCTATACAAGAATGTCGTTTTACAAGACGTCCGAGTAATATAAGGCAAAAATAAAATCAAAAATAAAATATTTTTCTATGTAAATGTCGAGTACAATTTTTTGAACGATCTAGAAATTATTTAAATATTTTTAAGTTTTAATTTTTATTCTTATAGAGAAGAAACAATATTAATTAAGAATTTCATAGCATATCTTTTTAAAATTATTTATTTACGAAATTTTATACGAAATTAATATAGTAATTTAAAAATTTTTTTATAAATATTAATTTTTTTGTACATTTAAATTTAACTTTAACCAAATTTGATCTTTGGACTTTAAAAGAATATATATATATATAGATGCACTGTATTACTGCGTATTTTGTGCACTTGAAATGAAACGAGCGCGTGATTAGTGTCGGTCCACAATAAGTATTTAATCTTTAAGTCGTAAGAAATTGACCAATCATAGTCGATTATTCTTTTCATATTCGATTATAATTGGTCAATTTCTTACTTCTTAAAGCTTAAATCACCTATTGTGGACCGACACTTAGAGATGTTGAAAGGAAAGAGATCACAACTTGAGAACAGAATACGCGATTCAAAACCGGACGCAACCGGCGGTACAACTGTTTACGTATCGCTGTTGGAATTTTTTTCATGTGACACACGATTACCGCTGTCATCGTCGGGAATTTGTTGAGGAATCGTGGCGAGGCAAGAATGCAGCGTAGCGTACTCCGCGTGACGAATCTCCAGTTGTTGCAGAGACGTTTTTTCAAAAAGTATCACGTGAGGGTTAGATTTGCGCCTAGTCCTACTGGTAATGATTGACCCTTATCAAAGCCCTCAGCTTTAATTTTACTAATGAAATATCATAATCATGTATCTGACATTAAATCTCGAAAATTGTTCAATTCTTTTTCATATATTATTTCAGGCCATTTGCATTTAGGAGGTTTGCGCACTGCATTGTATAATTATTTATTCGCTCGTAGCAACAATGGTACATTTATTTTGAGAATTGAGGACACAGATCAAGCAAGAACGGTTCCCGGAGCGATAGAGAAACTCCAGGATGATTTGTTATGGGCGGGGATTATACCTGATGAAGATCCTACCAGAAGTGGCCCTGTCGGTCCTTATGTGCAGTCGTTAAGGCTTGAATTATATAAGTAGGTATTTTATTTTTTTCCCAATCAACAAAGTCTATCAAGGACATATTCTGTAGAGCCTTTGCTAGAAATTTTAGTAAGATGACGAATTACTTCTTAGTTAATAACAAATAAGGATTTGATGTTCAACTTATAGCAACTTTTAGGTGATAGAAATGTGAAAAAACACTAAATAATTTTAATTATTCGATCTTCTAAATTTCTTTATGAGATCATTATTTGTAGGGAACAAGTACTTAAACTCTTGAATAATGGATCTGCCTACTATTGTTTTTGTACTGAAAAAAGACTGCATTTGTTGAGGAAGGAAGCGATGAGATGTGGACAAATACCCAAATATGATAACAGATGTCGGCATTTTAATAAGGATGAAGTAAAGGAAATGCTCAAGAAAAACTTACCTTATTGTATTAGATTTAAGGTACATATATATCTGAAATTTATTTGACAAATCAATTGACAGACTGGTAATTGTTAATTTAATAACTATTTCTATTGAATTGTTCTTTTGAATAGTTACTGTCCACACCAGAAGTCTTTCATGATATAGTTTATGGAGATGTATTGCATGATATTTCTAAATCTGAAGGAGATCCAGTTATTATTAAATCAGATGGATATCCCACTTATCATTTTGCAAATGTGGTTGATGATCATTTTATGGAAATATCTCACGTCTTACGTGGTGTTGAATGGCAAGTTTCCACACCTAAACATATTATGCTTTATAAGTAAGTACTTTTAATTAATTAAATATTTTGCATAAACTTGGCGTAACTTTGACTCTATATCAATACAATTTTATTTATTATAGAGCGTTTGGTTGGGATCCTCCCATATATGGACACTTACCTTTAATATTGAATGCAGATGGATCCAAGTTGTCAAAAAGACAGGATGACATAAAAGTTGAATCTTTTAGAAAACAAGGTATTTTTCCATTGGCGTTATTGAATTATGTGATAGGGGCTGGTGGTGGGTTTCACAAAGAACAGGAGAATCAAGCTCTTTACAGTTATCAGGAATTAATTAAACAGGTAATTGCTAATGGTACACAGCTAATATACAGCTATGGTACATGCTAATAACACAGTTGAGGACTTTATATTTAATATTTATATACATTGTATATGTCATTGCAGTTTAATATTGATAAAATAAAATCAAGTTCTGGCAGACTTATGCCCGGAAAACTGATGGAATTCAATAAATTAGAAATGGCGAATTTATTACAAAATGAAAAAATCATAAATTTTTATTGAAAGAGTTAAAAATTAGTATTAGAAGCATTTCCTGAAAGGTATATTTAATTTATTTTTATATTAATACTTTTCACTTCAAAAAATTTAATTTACTTTATTTTAGAAAAAATGGACATTTACAATTGGATGATGATCACATAATAACTACGTTAAATTGGGCACGAAACAGGATAACGACACTCAACGATCTTGTCAAAGAAGACTTAGCATTTTTATGGATTATTCCATCTTCTATGCCAAATGTTAAACAAACTGGATACTCAGGTACTAATATTTATTTATACATGAGATATCAAATGTTATTTAATAAAATTATATATTGTTGCATTATTCCAGATGCGATTAAGTTATTGAATGCGGAATTAGTTGAAATAGATGCTAGCAATTACAATACTAATTGGATGACATCATATTTGAAGGATTTTGCAAAGAAGAATGAAGTACCATTTGCTATTTTGATGAAAACTCTGAGAAGTGTTATGAGTGGCGTAAAGGTAAATAAATAGATTATATGAATTTATCTAATTGTGTGTGTGTATGTGAAAAAGAAAAAAATATGTCTAATATATGCAATAAATACACTTTATAGGTTGGACCACCTGTTGCTGAAATGATGGAAATTTTGGGAAAAGACAGAACATTACTACGATTACAACGTTGTGTTTCTTGAAAAATTTATATGCCTTGTTTAATCGTAAACTGATGTTATTGTCAAAGGTAAAATGCATTTTACCAAAAATAAATTTAGTTTAAATATGTTTCTGTAGAAAAGATATTAGAAGAGAATAATGATCAATATTAAAATATTTTCCACAAATATTTGCATTCCACTGCTGGAAAATATATAAAAATAATTTATATATAAATATATAATTCTAATTAGAATTACAAATAATTACTAATTAGGAAAATATTGCAAACTAGTCAAACATTTTATATATTTAATATGATGAAAAGAAATAATATTTTATCTATATTTTAATATATTTATTACAGAATAAGTATATCAAACTATTTTATACATATATACATGTATACATGTGTACATACTTTTATAAATAGTGGCACGTCAACTCTTTTGCATATATAAAAATCTTGCAAGATCTGGGTTCATTAAAATATTAGTGTTAATCTTTGTTATTATATTAATATTTATT